TTTCCCCCTTCACTACAAATGACGTATTCAGTGAAATTATTGCATATTTTGGCGTTTTTTTTCGTCTTCAGGAGATGAAGGCCGTTGGACAACATATTATCAATGTTATTGTCAAACCCCAACTTAATCGGAACTCTGCTGGCATTTTTTCTTGACAATACTGTTCCAGGTAAGTTAAAAAAAACTACACTAATTCATGCATTACTTTCTCAAATTTGTTGTTCGAGCTTTCTGTGAAGTAAGCTAAATCATTTATGGAAGCAATACGTTAAGCAATCGAATTATTTATAAATTTGTATAGGTATGATCTGGATTTAAGAACAACGTAGATCTGCAGGTTCAAATGTTAGAGATATTACTTACTTTAAACACGTCTCTCTGAGTAAAAAATCGAAGTGTAATTTTATTTTCCTAATTATTCTTAGGAGATAACTACATGTATATCGTTCCGAAAATTTACTGAAACACTATGTAAAATTCTAACTTGAATTTTATTAGGAATAGATATTCCTGGTTTTGTCACCTTTATTTAAATCGATTGATTAAACAGAGAATGTATTCAAATAAGAATTATCCGTGGACACAGTTGAAATATAATTTACTAATTCTCTGACGTCGAATGTGACGTCATTTATTTGTATATATTTGAAGATTGTTATTTCATTTTATTTTATTTTCTTTAATTCCATCTGCCAACAAATAACAAAAAGAACGGACGTGACGCTGCAAATTTACGTCAGTCCGTTTTGTTACAGCTTTGCGTAAGCGTGTTAATTAAAATGGAAGATGCGTATATTTGTTCTTTTTTTTAAATTTGCATATTTTAATTTTCCAAATAAAAATCAAATTCTAACTATCTGTTTTTGAAATGTATAATATGATAAGTAAACTATATGAGCTGCGTCACGACAAAACCAACATAATGGGTTTGCGACCAGCATGGATCCAGACCAGCCTGCGCATCCGCGCAGTCTGATCAAGATCCATGCTGTTCGCTATCAGTTTCTCTACTTGTAATAGGGTTTGTAAGCGAACAGCATGGATCCTGATCAGACTGCGCGGATGCGCAGGCTGGTCTGGATCCATGCTGGTCGCAAACCCACTATGTTGGTTTTGTCGTGACGCGGCTCAATTATGATATTATATGGTTTAGGAACTCGTGAAGAGAGAGGAATTTTAGCATGGCAAGTGCCCCAGGATACGGAGACAGTCGAAGTAGATCCGGAAATGTACGACGAGGGATATGAAGTGTATGAACCCTTAGTCCCTAAATCCTTTTTGAAATGGAAGGTCATGAAGTATATACCTTTTCTACCATACCGGCCAAAACAAACGGACTAAAACATTTTCATAATGACGTCAACTCAGTAAAGACTAGAGAAATACTACCAACCAAAGTGATTTCGTCATTGATATAAACCAACATGTTATGAAAACAAATGATGAAAATAAGACGTGGACATCAAACTAGTATATTAATGGTACAAAATAAATTTGTTAAAGTAATGATATTTTCAACATTTTAGATACACATGTAACATTAGTAGTGTCATTTGATGACCTTGTGTGATGGATTTGCCCAAGTTTGAATTTGGAACATCAAGTTTAAAGTTTCGGAATATTAATCATTTCAAAAGCAAAGTAGGTAAAAAAAAAAGGTGAAAAAAGTATGGAAACTGTGTGATATATTCAGCGAAAGAAAGAACGCTTATCACTGTCGAAATCGATCTGACGTCATATTTAAAATAATATAGATCCCCTCTATGGGTAAAAATCAATATCATACTGTGACTACATATTTGTATCGCAACTAACAAACAAGTGCCTGTTTAGTTTGTATCTCACTGCCATACTCACAAGTATCTATATATAAATACACTATTTTGTTATCATATTATATTTATACGTAAATAAATAAATTTTTCATTTATTATGACTGTGCATTTTTTTGTTCAAACTGAATGTCACCAGGGATTTACATTACAATCATACGTTCCTTGTGTAAATAAATAGATTTTAGTCTACCACATCGTACGAAAAATCTTTCACATTGCACCTTTTCCGTCTCTTTAATGTCCTGTTAGAGACGGTGTTGGTTTTCATTTTGGGTGATCATGAAATCATTTTTACGGTCATTCGTACTGTACATCTGCTCTGGCATGTACATAATTTATTAGTTGTTTGCCTGTGTTTTCGTAGACTTTATCACAATATCCAACAAGAAAAGCATTGATGCAAAGCATCAAAGGGCGTCCAAGCAAGAAATGCAGCAAGTGAAGATGAAGTAGTACACATATGATGACAAGATATTCTTATAAACTACCAGAAATGTATATCACTTATGAATGAGCGGACGAAAGACATTGTTCATTATGAACTTTGATTGGCATGCTAGAGATTAGAATATTACTTGTTATTTCTTTATGATCGTGGTTATTAATAGCAACGGATATACATGTATGCAATCATTTATAGTCCATATGTGTAACGCATGATCAACACGTACCACACATTTGTAATTGTCCCTTATTATGTTAGCGCTTTTAGCGAAGACCCCCTTAAGGTATCTGTTCACACTTTAAGTTAGTAAAAATATGACACTGGTTATATTACCATGTTGATCATGTTGAGCATAATTGTTTATTATACAATAATTGTAATATCTATTTATTTTAATTAAAAAAAATACAAATTTTATGAATATTGTTTTCTTTTATTCTTTTTTTGTGTGTTTTATGTGCTATTTTAATACTGAGATTTACTACTCTTTTTTATTAAAATTGTAAAATAAATTTTAAGAATTCAATTGTCATATTGACCGACGATTATAAGTCAAAGCTTAACTGGAAAAAGTTAGTAAATTATGGTTTATCTTTCAATATATAATATTGTTTATTCTTAAACCATGTACATGTACATTGTATTTTTCTTTATCATTTTTTAAATTATCAATCAATTGAATAATTCATAAAATCTAATTTGTAACTTTGAATAATTCCTCGGCATCTTTATTAAACACGGATAACAAATTAAATAAAATGTTTCAAAGTTGATAATGTCATTCTAATACCATAAAAAATGTACCTTTTTCTCAATTATTGTACATATCACGGATTTATATTACATATAAATCCGTGTACATATTTATTGTTTTTATCTCATATAGATAAAATGAAACATGCTATTGTTTTTTTTTCTAATTGTAACGATATCAAACATCTACCCCAAAACCGGGAGAGACCGGACAATAAACGTGTGGTACTATTCGCCGGTCACTAGTAAATCCTGGTCAAAATAGACCGGGAGAGACCGGCATTTACCGATAGGAGTGATAAATAGATATATCTATAAATAGGTTTTTGGAATATTTAGGTCATCAACTGATCATTCTAGGATACATGTACAACAATAACATAATAACCATGATAACCAACTGTGTACTACAAAATGATAAATAAAAAACCCCGAAGAGCGCGATTTATTGACGGAAAAGGTTATTTCATTTGAAAATGTTTGCATTGCGAAAATTCATTGTAACATATCGCGACATTTCATTCTTAATTAATAATCAAGCACCCTCATACCGATCGGAATTTTCGGCTTTTATTATGACCGACAAAAAGGCTCGAGAAGTTGCTGTCGCCCTTTCACAAAATCTGATTTCATTCCATAAGAGCGCCGCGCTTCGGCGCGGACGCCAATTATACAAGATATATACAGTCATACAAGACGTCAATAAAATAGAAAGTTAACTTAAGCTTGTAGTACAAGAGGTAGAACTTAGCAGCGAATCTTAGTTTGTTGTACTAACACAGGCTCATCTTTTTAAAGCCCAGTCACAAATGAATTTGTCGTCGCACTTTTTCGCTCTTTAAATAATTTTTAGCCATTGTATTAAACCCTATTAAACTACCATGGCTAGAGGTTAAGTAGGCGCGGAGAATGGCAAAAGTAGGAATCGAACCATGGTGCTCTCATATATGAGGTAATCACTTGTCCGACTATACTATTGCGAATGTGACGTAAGAATGTACATTATGCTAGTGTGGCATTAATTCTCGTAAACTATACGGACGGAACCGAAGTAGGATCGAATATTTAAATAAGTGCTTATATAAGTCATAATTGACAGGTCAATTAAATCAGACTATACCATGGCTGGAGATAAGTGGGCAAAAAGTTAGAAAAACAATGAAACTCGAGAATATATGTATATTTTAACCAATGCTTAAATACGTTTAAATACTCGTTAAAGAAGGTCATCAACGAATATTTTAATATACATATGATACAATATTTATTGAAACATAACATCACAGATTTTTTTTAAGTTTATGATATATACAAAGAATAATACACTGGTAATATTTAAATATATCTTTTTTTTTTTTTGTTATTTGTTTTGAAAAAAAAACACACACATATTTTCCTTAGAATTTTGTGTACGAAATCTGCTTATCAACTGTTGCATAATATCAATATGTAAAAAAATATATTTGCTCATTTCATGTGTTCCAGTGCTTTATAGATATTGAACTTTTAGGATAGACTTTGCAAAATTGTTTAAGCAGTGGCGTTTTTGCCCATGCATGAATTTACTTAAAAAGAAATTAAGGACAGATGCCCATTACAACAACAGTGAAAGGTAGGATTGTACGGTTCTGACTCACAACATTTTGTATTCATGCTTTGATCCCTATGACCAAGTATTTTATAATTATTACTAAGACTGCCACCACAACAAATGTACGGAGGTTTATACAATATTGTCCCATAGCATTTTTCATTACGAGTTTTATAATTATTAATCACGCCATTACAACAAATCTGGTAAGATGGACTATTCTGTATTGTCCCACAACATGCATAGTCGTGTCGTGTCCTCCATTGCGTACAACGCCTTCACAGCAATTCTCGGTAGACGGGTTGTACGGTTTTGTCAAAGAACAAGCTGTATTCAATCCTTTAGTACTCACGACGTTGTTGCAACAAATTTGGGAAGTAGTGTTGTACGGTATTTTCATACAGCATTTCGTATTCAGTTCTCTGGAACTCAGCACACCATTACTACAAATCTTGGAAGTAACGTTGTATGTTCTTTCACCGCAAACAGCTATTTAAAAACAAGGAATGTAAATTTACATTTTCTTTCGTATTACACTGTCGGTTTAATTGGTAATTTTTCACTGGCTTATTTCGAACAATGCCATAAAATGACACCGCAAAAAGCCATTAATCCTTATATATTGAAACGTTTGTCATTTCGTCCGTATCAACATCTTTGAATCGGTTTTTTCAACATTTGTGGAACTTTGCAAGAATGTAATTATTAGTAGAAAAATGAAGATCACCAAGTGCTATCAAAGGGTCCTTTTTACTGTTTTAACCGGAACAAAATATTTACCGTTTTGAACAATATTTAACAACGATTTGTTTGACTGTAATTAATATTATTGTACCATACCGTACCAGTATAGGTATACAGCTAAGCTGGGGCAAGATTTTTTTTCTTTATCTTTCTTTATATCTATAAACATCATTTTTATTTCACTTGATTATTTCTTTACTACGTTTTTCATATACATGTTGAAATAATTCATGCATTTTTATTCATTTAAATATTTTGACAGTAAATTATGCTGTCTTGTTTTGTAATTACCCTTAATTGTGTATAATTTATGCATGGAATTTTCATGCATTTTGGTATGAAAAGAATATATATTGACCAAAAATCTTCATTTAGTCTCTGCTTCACAGACACTCGAAAGGCATATCTTACCTCTTGTTAGAACTTTACTAGTTGGAAATAGTAAATTATATTTAAAAAAAAAACTAAAATGATTATCAATATAACTCTACAATTGTGACTTGTTAATTAGATAAATAAAAGGCATTTTTGTTCTTGAGTTATAAAAGATAAACTATTAACTAACTATAAGGCTATCACTTAAAATTTAACATTTGACTTTTAGAAATAGATACAAAATTGAACCAAACTTTTTTCCCCCTGTTACAAAGATACACCCCCTCCTCCCCCAATTAAAACTCTTGTGCAGCCGAAAAATGATAAAATTCTTTTACAAAAAAAACAACTTTGTGTTGTGATTCAATCCACCTTCAGTAGAACCAAAAAATTAGCGCATAATACAACTACCCACTCATCTTTTATGACGGTGCTCACCGGCAAAAATGCCAAAATAAACGCCTGTGTTTTTAATAATTTCATTACTTTACATGTGATAAAGTGTAGACCTTGCTTATCTTTATCATGCAAAATACCCACACCCAATTAAAATCTGGACTCCATTTAAAAATTCACGCGGTGTCACTTAACGACAGAATCAATGATTTTTCCTTAAGAAATGCTCTAGAAGAAACTACTATCTGGTTCGTTTTCAGCCCCACGCAGATAACATATA